TATTCTAACTTTCTAAAGTTGATCTCTAACCCTATACTTTGAGCATTTTAAGTTATTTAAATAATATAAGCTAGGTATTAATAGATTTGAAGTGTGATGTCATTTGAGTTCTTTGTAATTTGGGGACACGGTTTTCCCGCCAAGACGTGCCAGGCGGTCAAGGGCTTAACCTGCATTTTTACGAAACGATTCGTCTTTTTTTATTAATACTGGATAACCAAAATTATCGATATCTGATATCGATAGTGACTTATTAAACTTATAAAGTTTTAATTGTAAATGTAGCAAAACAACTAAAAAACATCATTATGAAGTCTTGGAAAGAAAAAAAGACATATGGTATGTAAGCTAGCTTACATACCATACACAACAACAACAAAATAAACTTGAAGTACAAGTCCTTAAAGTAGAGGATATAACAATGTTTAAGACTTCCTCAAAATTTTATGCTAATGGTTCGAAAACTGATACCGGGATATCTTGTTAAAATAAGATTTTAGTGTACCACCTCCTCATTTAAATTAGGATATGGAACTTTTACGAACATTTCATGTTAGAGATCTGAAAAAAGAAACTTACGTAAAGAAGTAAAACTCTATCTAAACAGTTTATATGTAAAATATTGCCAAGATACCATATAGCTCATTAAATAGAACTCATGTTAGGCTAAACTTCCAATTTACGTCCACTGAACCCAACCCTACAGACTCTACACTTTTTTACTGGTTTTGTTACCTTATATTGCATATTTTCGAAATCGTGATCTTTTTATGTGATATGGAGATAAACTGAATCTGAGATGTTCATAAAGATAATTATAAGAACGTACCAAAATATCTCAAACTTTTGAAACAGTGTTTCCTATACATTTTTGACGATTGAGCCATAATGTTTTTTTTCTTGGCAATATTTTACATGAAAATTTTAGTAGGTATTAATATTTTATTATTGATTTTTTTATTCAAACAAATTCTAAAGCTCTTATTGATTTTAATTCTATACTAGTGCTCGTGCTTTAACTAAACACATATAAAGATTGACATTTTATAACAGGATAGTCATAAAGTTAGTAGGTAATTTGAACAGATTCAAACTAAATATTGATTCAACGTTATATAAAATTTGATTCTTTAATGTCTTTGGCTTATAACAACTTGTTTCCGTATGTGTGTGTATGTCCATGATTCAGCCTCTATTCAGTTTCATGAATACCCTCGATTATTTTGTCTTGGATTGAAAACTATAAATTTTATTAAATATTTACAACAAAAATATAAAATATTGTCTTTAAAATGCGATTTAATATTTGTAAACAATTAGGTAGTAATGTACTAATTAATTGTAATCATTATTAATATTTTTTAAATGTTTTTCAAGAACCATTATAATATTCATCTTTGTACGCTTGACCTTTACTTAAATATTACTTATAGAATTCAGTAAAGCGTCTAGTGTGTTGTTAAGTAATATTTTTATTCTTTGACCTTTTCGGCTGATAAAATTGCTAGGTAAAGGTAAACGGAGGTTACACACACGTGCTATTTTTTACCACTCCTTTTTGTAACAAATTTGTATATTTATGACTTGAACTTCTGCATATAAATTATTATTCTAAATATACTCATTTAATAATAACAATATAATATTAATTTATATTTCAAATAACATACGGACAGTTGCAAAAATGTTGATAATTTTTAATGATAAAGCTTCATATTCTAAATTTGTAAATTTTAATGTCGCTTTAAACTAATGTCAATTTTAAAGAACATTTAGGCAGCCGTATTATGGATTTGCAAAATCTTTTAGTAGATACATATTTCAATGTAGAGAACAAATTAAATTAATCGCCGTATCATGCTACTACATACGGCACAGCATTATGAGCAGTCGAGTCCAGTAGATTTTAACATTTTCGAAACTATCTTTCCACATTTACTTATTCGAATATTATTCACGGCATGTGATGTAGTTTTGTGGTTATCCTTATTGCGTTTCTTAGAAATGATAATCATCCATTCTTTATTTCTGTCTCATTTACATTGGACGATGGTGATAGCACGTGGATTGCCGGCGATCTCTGTGCGCATGAGATGAGCGAGCAATGAAACAGTGATCGACCAAATAAAGAACAGAAATCGCGAGCATGCCGCACGTGGATGTTATCGATTGGTGTAAATGTCGCAGCCAAGTCGTATAATCAGCCGACCAATGGGGCGGCTAGTCCTTTAATTGATTGATACCAGTTAATTAATGGGCTGACTTTCGATCAGCCGAGTAGTTGAAGGTATGTTCTACAATACGGCAGAACAAAGGTCAGCTTACTTATTAAGTATCAACTCATCGGGAATACAGAAATTTATTGGTAGGATTAGAAGTAAAACTAAAACATTGTAGTGGGTGATTTTATTTAAAACTCAAAAACTCCTTGTTACGATCTGTAATCAATACATATACAAGACTGATCAGAAAGATAATAACAAACTACTTACTTGTGACTGGGTGTTAATGGTCCGTATGATCCAATACAGGAAGCTAACGTTCACACCCATTACGCAAATAGTTAAAGCTTTAACTTTTCTAATAAATTATTAATACTAATACAATAATACAAAGACAAGATATACCACAATTCAAAGGGCCAAAGCTCCATCTATCGAAATAAGAGAAGATAATTTATTTGGCTGCGATTGTTTTAATATGATTATTACGATTTAGAAATTTGGTGCTGCATTAGTTTATAACAACATATGTAAAATAATAAACAGTTTTTTTGGTACTGTAGGTAACGTGATAGGTTGAATTATTAATCTTTTAACAGATAACAAAGCGTCGAACAAAACTATGCGTGCAATTGAATGTCTCCATTCAAATAAATGGTTAGCCGCACAATTGAACAGCTATTTTAACCAGTTGGCTGTGACATAAATATGCCATTAGTCATCTGCTTCTCGCATCTAGTACGCACTATATTATATCAAGGTTATAATATTTTAAAAATCCCCGATCCAATTTGAACTATGATCTAACGATTTAAGTTTAGAGAAAAACTAAATTGTCAATATTTCAAAAATTTTATTAGTTATTATTGACGTGCTGTTGACTGTACAATTGATTAATGCTGCTGGTTTAGACAGATGTTTAGGTAAAGCATTCTGCAGTGTTATATTTTGATTTTGATATTTTTTACAATAATTTTGAACATAATTTATCATTTATCCGCAGGTAAATTATTTTTCCTAATAAAAAAAAAATAAAGTTTAGATTTTGCATATTATATAAAAAAGTAATACATATATATTTTTTATTATTACAGATCACAGACATTTAAGACTATGTTCGAGTTCAATTTTTTTATTAATTAAGCAACATAATTAATAAAAAAAGTTGTGGAACATCGACAATTAGACGTAAGATTATTATAAAATAGGAATATGAATAACTAGCATTATTGTATATTAGAAATAACTTAGCACAGTGGAATTTATAGAGGATATATTTATATGTTAGGTAAGCTATTTATATGTATTATTCCTATTAACATATTAAAAGAATATAAGAATGAGTATATTATGAAACGTATAAAAACAAAAATATAGCGAACGAAACGGAAGTTAAACAGATCTTTCTTAAAAATTAAGGAAATCGTTGAAAAATAATAAATGGAACTTAATAGATACTAAACACAGAAATTAATACTGATATTGACTTTAGGTACCCATTCAAAGTTCAAAGTTGAATTTAATTTGATATTCATAACATTAAATGGTACTTTATAATGTTAGTCGTATGTGTGAAGTGTGATATTGATATAAGAAGAAACGATACAATATTGAAAATAAACATTTATACACCAACATGAGTCAAAAACATTATTCAGTAGCCTATATGTTAATGTAGACTTAGAATTACCTAGATACCAAATTTCATCAAATTGCGTCCGCCTACAACCCTTTAAAATAATAGTAGGGTTGTTGTATTCTCTTTTAAGCCAAATAGTATGAAAATTAAAATCAAACTTCTTTCAATTCTCGTTTCTATGTATACATACATTATGTCCAATCATTAGAATAGTACTATAAACGTTTCTTAATTTCGCGACGGGCTCCTAAAATGATCTGGCTACGTCTCTGTATAGTAATATAAATATTTCTAAATTGCCGAGATGTTTAGTTGGATATGTAAATAATATTATCTTCTTAGATCACGCATTATAATATTTATTAAAAATCCAATTAAGATTATATTTTTAGACAACCGAAAATAATGTGATACCTACCTACTTTTTGGGATTTATGAAGTTATAATATCAATATCAACGGTTGAAATGCTGAATATTGAGTTATATTCATGTGTAGAGTCTGTAATTCCAAATAATAACTAAGGATCGATGCATATATGACGAGAGATGCGAAGCGTATCTTCAGAACTGTCAAATATAAGATGAAATTCATCTTCCACACTCGACGGATGGTCCGACGCGTACTATCGGATACTTCAGTGTGATGCTTCAGGGATAGTACGTCCGATTTAAACCGACCCTCAATTTCGAAAAAAATGTCTCTTGGATCAATCATTCCTTCAACCATCGACATATATAATTCATTGCTTGCAAGATTATAGAACAATCATCAAGTTAATGTATATTTTTTCAAAGATATTCATTTATTTTATTAAAGCCATATATGATGACGGCGACGCATTAACAGTGGTCTTCCCAATGACACGGTTGCTCAACATGACAGACGTGACATTACAAGTTTTGTGACAAATTATTAAACAAATAGTTGTGAGTAAAACCTTCGGATGCCTTCCAGTGACTAGGTACATACTCACACATAGACATAATTCTATACGATAATGTAAACACGCGCTCGTATGTGGTCAACGATGACCGAATCTGCGGAGCCGGAATATCGACATCTCATATTTGTTCTCACCTGACATTACGATAGATCGTTGGTGAAATGTATAAAAGATTTTGACGTGAGCGCTTAGGCATCAGTCGCTCATTTGGTAGCAACCGAAATATACCAAAAAATCAAAATGAAACTGGTACGTTACCGATATTACATTTGGTTTTAAATTTATTATTCTCCTTAATTATAATTGTCAGTTGAGGTAGTTTAGAACAATACCTTGTGTTCGCTTAGTTTGTAGTATAGTTATGGATAATGTGTTATCGTTTGTGCAGATTGTAGCTATCGCCCTTTGCGTGGCCGTCGCCATGGCAGTGCCCGTCGAGAAGGAGCCACCGAAGATCCTTCGCAGTGATTTCGACCAACAACCCGAGGGTGGATACGTATTCAGGTATTTAAACATTACCACATTACATACCATTAAACTATAACATTAAATTATTACCCATTTATTATATTACCTATTTATATTACTAAACATAACTGCTTCGACCGTATTTTGTGAACTGATTATCATTTTTATAGATTATTAATCGTTAGAAGAATTTAAAGATTATATATCTTTCAGAATTTAGTGAAACGTAAAGTTTATTACATACCATACATAACAGTAAAATGCCTGAATTCAGTCGTTGAAACAATAAATATTATTTGGTATATTTTTATTTATATATTTACACTTTGACCAGATTTTTTATTTAGTTATAAAATTGTGTTTTTATGCAGCTTCGAGACCGAAGATGGTATCAACCGTAACGAAAATGGAGAAGTGAAGTCGGTTGTTGATGAGGAAAACAAGCCTCATGAGGTCGTCGTTGTACGCGGTTCTTACTCTTACACCAACCCTGAAGGCAAGCAGGAGAGCATCTCCTACTACGCTGACGAGACTGGATACCACGCAGAAGGTGAATCCATCCCCAAAGCCCCTTAAATCGTCCTGACTTCTAGACAACAAATTACTAACGACTTATGCTGCCAGAGGACATGAATACTCAAGCACTGGTACGGCTTTACCAACAGAGATTATTTCACGATTCCATCAAACGGAATCCTTATCTCTAATACAAATAGAATCTAGATAATTAAGGTTGTTGCCATAACCGAAGCGACGCACCAAGTGCATGCTTCTATTGTTGCTTGTTTTTGAAGCTCACTGCCATATATTTTTTTTATGTTTTGTACATTTTTGTTAGTCATTTTTTACGTGATTATGTGAAATAAATTTTTGAATTATAATTTCGTTTTTTGTTTTTACTTTCGGTAACCTACGATGAGATGCATACATGAATATTGTTTTCAAAGCTCTGGAAATTAATTAATCTGCAAATGATATAATTGATGTTTTCCAAATATATGGTCTGCTTTTCCATTTTCAAAAAGAGTAGTTTTACAAAAATCATTTTAGCTCCTTATACAGATATCAAATATAAAGATTAAAGTTGTAAACATCATATCTTTTAAAAGTTACGAATATACTCGTATATTGTAAGTAATAACGAGACTTAAGTACTAATAAAGAAGTGCTCTGAGAACTAAACTTTCCATATTAAAAATCTCGAACCATGCTTAAGTTGTCGGCTATAAAAGACATTGATTGAGAATGGATAAGTGAAAAAAAAATTTCAGCAATAGTTCTGCGTTCCTTAACAACCCGATCCAATAGAAAAGAGAACCAGACATTGTTAGCCACTATATAATTTTAAGTGATTTAAATATGAAACGGATCACATAACAAGAATATTGAATACGCTTATTTGAATTCCTCTTGTACTAAAGTCTGTGATCTATTATGCATAGCACAGTATGCTACCTCAGTTACTAATAACAATTACTATGATGCGTAGTTGGTTATTGTATATCGGCCGGCATAATTTATAAGGCTTCGGCGGCGTGATCTAGTTTTAAGTCCAGAAATGAGAAAATTACATAAAAACTTTCATCTCCTAATTTATCCCCTTAGGGGTCGAATTTCGTAAAATCCCGTCTTAGTGAGCACCTACGTCCTAAAAAAAATCCGCATGCTAAATTTGAAACTCCTACCACTTGTTATTTTATCCATCACGAAAATTTACCAACTGCCCAACAATTACCACCAATTAGCACAGCGTGCATGTTATAATTTGCGGTTAAGCGATATATAAAAAAAGTTTGGTTTTTGTTTGTTATTAATATAAGTTACTCTATCTTGGAGTAGTAATATTGTCAGAACTTTTTTATTTCATATTCATTGACGAATATATCAAAATTATATTAGAAGCTTTTCTATAATTATGATTAAACTATTTTATTTTAGGTTATTTTCAGAAATAACTGCCAATTAATATTATATACTTGATCATTTTGCAATCACAATGTTATACTGAAAATTATTCTTAATGAATAATGCTTAAAAATCCAGTTTGTACGCTGAGATGGGATTCGACCCCATAACCTTTCATAAACAGGGCTGCTTGTTACTTTTTCAAGCACTTGTTACTTTTTCTCTACTACATAACGATTTTTCATCAATGTTCAGGCAATCTACTCAAACAGCTGAAAGAAATATTTTTTTAATTCTGAAAAAAATTTGTTCTGATTCCAATATCTGATCAATTTTGCATTCATAATGCTATACTAAATGTTATAAGAAATACTAAATGGAAGGAGGATTTGTTAAGCAAATTTCATTAAGAAAAATTAATATTAAAGTTATCCTATGCGATTTCATTAAGTTGGATCCTTGGATATATATGTATATATAAAAGTGCATTCCGTTCCGGTTCCGGTTCTAAGATCCTATTTTCGACTTCCTTATTTAAGATCCCGTTCTAAGATTATAAAGTCAGTTTTCTTTGAAGTAAAGCTTTCTCGTAAAGCACTACACTCTACATAATATTTGAGTGTTTTCAAGATGGTGAGTAAATATTCGAAATTGTCAATGCTAGGTACTTAAAAATATATACAATAAAATAAAATAACAACTTTTTTCAAATAATGGTTTATTAATATTTATAAATATGGTTATTAATATTATGCCGAGTGTAAATTTCATATCCTGATTAGGTATGGTTGAAATTTTAAGAATGCTGTTAAAAAATTCGGCGTCGTACGCAAAGCAGAGCATAACTCTCTCACATCTTAGAGAAAATGAAAATATTCTTTTTTCAAATGAGCTTAATTAAGCATGCGCTTTTGCGTCTAAATAACTTCAAAAGGTCATAAAGGTTTTCTTTGATTGAATCTCGTCGCTCTAATTGGCGTTTAATTTTTTTTTTTATTAGGACGTGTTTTGGCCACCGAGAAGTATACGCAAGTTTGTCATCTACATTAATATAAAACTATAATTTTAAAATCAATGCCAATATCAAGATAAGGAACGAAAATTAAAGGTCATACAATAAACAACGAATACTCTATCAATTGCTCTTCCAAACAAAATGAACCTACCACATTTTGATTGTATATTATGTAAAAAAATAATCTTTGCATATACAACCGTCGTTATTTTAGTTTTATATGGGCATGAATATAACATAATAAACAATAAAGAACTTTATTGTATTTTATCAATTATGCATTCACAGTATTAAGAATATAAAACTACTTTATAACAACGAATTAATGATCATTATTATTAGTATCATAATAATTCACAAACTAATCAGTAGCTATAAAGATCTTGTATTATAGAAATCCATAATATTTAAGATACCATACCATTTAATTGGGGTTTGAAAATCATGTAGCTAATTTACGCGGTCGAAGCCCGAAGTCTTATATATATATTTATTATCTATGCATATGGATGTATGAAACACAATTAAGTTACTTGGCTTTCGTTTAATACTTAAATTAATTTTGTAAAAAATATATAAATGCCCAAAAGCTCTATTTTGAATCATGCGCCTTGCGTCGAGCTCTCGTTTTCTTCTTATTTTGGTTCAATATAACTAATCCGCCGTTTCTAATTCACTCGACTGCAACGATTGGTATGAACCACTCGTCATTTAGCGAACGCTGTATGCGAGTGATAGAATACACGTTAAAACATGAAATGAATGAATGACGTTGAAATGAATGAATAAATGACATTTATGGCCGCTTTGTTAAAGACTTTAATGTTTATTTAAATAAGGAAAAAAAAATACATATAAAACGAAGAACTCAATTCAATATTTTCACTCTGTTAGCCACCCTGCAGACGAACGATTCAAAAATATGGCGCCATGTGACTCAGAAGTCGAGCGAGACTTAGGTCGTATGCGACAAGGAGATTTTAAACAAGTGAATGAAGAATAGAGCTCCAGTGGGCGGATATTTATGGGCGCGTATCGAGTTATAAGCATTGTCCATCACTGCCCCAAAAGGGAACAATTTTTCATTACCACGCTTATCTAGTAGTAGGTATCTTATCTATACATAAAAATCTTTGTGCATATTCATTAATGATTACTATCGGAAAATAGTTCGGCGGCGTAGTGGATAAGCGCCGCGGCCCGCGATCGTTATCGTTAAGCAACTTTCGCAAGGGTTGCTCACGGGATGGGTGACCAAAAAATATTAACTCGAGCTACTCTGTGCTTCGGAAGGCACGTTGAGCCGTTGGTCCCGGCTGCATTTGCAGTCGTTAATACTCTCCAATCCGCATTGGGCTAGCGTGGAGGGTCATGGCCCATCTTCCTTAACCATAAGGAAGGCCTGAGCCCCTGAAGTGGGGACGTAAAAGGGCTGATGATGATGATCGGAAACCTACCAAAGACATAGCAATATGACTGTGAACATTTTCAGATTTTTTTAATGCTATAAACACGATAATAATATATACTATACCTATCCATAATTATTATATTTGAAGATTTAGTATTTAATTAATACCAAATCTATCAACTAAGTTTTGCATTAATTAACCTATAAACGAATAAATTAATTTCGGTTTCTTAATAGTTACCTAATGTTAAAAAATAAGAGCAATTTTGGTGCTCTTATTTTTCATTTGCAATATTTATTAATATATTATAAAATTAACGTTTGAGGGATATGTAAAAAATGGTTTTATTATATAATAAAATCGGTATTTAAATATTATCCTTTTGTTGATCTACTGTTGTTATTTTATTATTATCGATTGTGAAGCTTTTTATGAATATATATATACATATATATATATATATATATATATATATATATATATATATATATATATATATATATATATATATAAACACACCGCTGCACGTCACCTTACCACAATATGTCAAATTACTGCAATTGATTTTGATATCTACCTTTAATATATTTAAAATCGCTTTAAGTCGGTAAAATCGTATGGGAAAATCTGTCAGTTTTGTATAGTTGAACGTTGTGTTGACTGTACTTAATAATAGGGTATTTGACGCTTTTCTGAAAATTATTTTAAATGGTTGTTTGATATTATAAATACACTGTCAATACATTTCATTAGAATCTGTATTATTTATGATGAAAATAATTTTTAAAATTTAAAAATCCAAAATCGCGTATAAAACTCTGCTCTATGTAATGGCCACATGGCATTTGTGACGTCACATGCCAGTAAATATGTCAAGGCGAAGTAACCTATTATCAACTATTTATTTACGAAGTAAACAAAAGTATTACAGAATAGAATTTGAAGTTAAATTTTGTTTTGTATTCGTATCTACTCTGGTTTTGTTTACAAAAGTGAGCTAGAAATCGCATGTATAAATGCAAATTTTGCGTATCTCTAATAACACTGTTTTGACATGACAGCTTCCGGTTTATGTATGACGTCACATGCCGGTAAACAAAACCTGTTATTGGTTGCGACGATAACCAATTACAGGGCGTTTTCGTCGTTCATTAAAATTCCTAAAAATGTTGCATTTTCTTTATGTTATTTTACTGAACATATGTTATCTGCAGATTCTAAGAAATAAACCTTATTAGAATAATCCAATAAAGTCCAATAAAAAAAATAATATCTAACAGGATGACCATAATACGCAACTTATTTTTAATAGTATCAATTATTTATTAGAGATGCGCCAAATATTCGTTTATATCGCTGGTATTCGGTATATTCGGCATTTTTTTAAGTATTTGTATTCGGCCGAAATATTCAATGATTTTCTTAGTTTTGTGCAATGATAAAGAACTAAAAGACAAAACTTCTTAAGCAAGATATACGTTATATTATTATAAGTCAAAGAATCCTATGATATACTATGTTCAACATATTGAACATAAGCCTAAGCT